CACAGCAGCTCTTTTTGTGGTGGCAAAGAATTGGAGATTGAGAGGATGCCCATCAATTGGGGAATGGCTGAGCAAGTTGTGGTATGTGAATGTAATGGAATACTATTATGCTATAGGAAATGATGAACAGGCTGACTTCAGAAAAACCTGGAAAGACTTATATGGTCTGATGCTGAGTGAAGTGAGCAGAACCAAGAGGACTTTGTACACAATAACAGTCAAGTTATACAATGACTAAGATTGTTAAACTGAACACTTCTCAGCATTATGAGGATCCAAGATATCTCCAGAGGCCTCGGGATGGAAAATGTGGTCCATATCCAGAGAAAGAACTATGGAAGTCGAATCACTCTCACTTATTTTTACCTTCTGTTGAGTTTTGTTTCATCCTTCTGATGGTTCCTCCTATTGGATTTAATTTTTACTTACAACTTCACTAATGTGAAAATATGCTTAATGGGTATGCAAATGTAAAGCCTGTATCAGATTGTGCGCAGTCTTGGGGAGGGGACGGTGAGGAAAAGGGAGAAAAATTTTCAACTCAAAAGCATATGGAAAAAAAAATTTTAAAAATCACAAAATAATTAAAACGGTCAATGTGCTGCCCAATGTCACCCAACCTTTGGGGACAGAAAGGGGCCAAAAACCCAGGCCTGTGTTCATGCTCCCAGGAGAGTAACTAGCAGTTGTGCCCCTGTTACCTGGACAGGGAGGCTCCCAAAATGACCTCCTTCCCTTCCCCCAGAGGAGGAGTGCAAGGAGGAATGTTTGTCTTTATTTCTGTTTGCCAGAGCATCCACACGGGAGAATGGAAGGGCCTTGGGGGTGGGTCCTGTTTCCCTTCTGTATGGGGTTCTTGGTACCTAGTTCAGTGTCTGGCAGCCTGGCAGCACTGAGAGAGAGCTTGCTAATAAGTACATAGATGAGAGAGCATCTAACAAGAGGCTGTGCCACTGAGTGGAGGAGGTGGCTTCTGTGCAAACAGGCGAGGGCTCCTTCATGTCAGTCCAATTTCTCTCCCTTTTTTTAAAGAAAATTTTTCTAATCTCTTTTTTAAAGGGCGAGTGAGCCCTGTGGCTCTCACTTCTGGCCCACAGCTGAGGCTGCAGCTACATGTATTCAATGTGAAGGAGATTCCCAGTTTGGAGGAGTGCAGAGGCAGGTATCATTAATCCTCTAACAGGATCTGTGTGTATGTGTCTCTCTGTCTGTCTGTCTCTCCCTCTTTGTCTGTCTCTGCCTCTTTTCTCTGTGTCTGTCTCTCTCTCTGTCCCTGTCTCTTTCTCTCTGTCGCTGGCTCTCTCATTACTAAAAATGTATTCCAATCTGGTCTCTGTGTAATTCCCTGGATGACCATAGGTCATCATTTGACCTCTCTAGACCTCACTTTCCTCCTTTGTAAAATGAAGGTGTTTAAAAGATGACAATTAGGTCTCGTCAAGTTTTTCAGCAGATATCTCCAAAATTATTTGGCTAACTGCCCCCTTTTGAAAAAAAAAAATTACTCAGCGCCTCCCTGGAAATCTATTTTCATTAAACTTTATTTTTTTTTAAATTTGCATCATTTTAAAAAAACAAAAAAAAAATTGAAAAAATGATGCATTTTAAATTTAATAATTTATTTTAAATTCGTGGTTTTTTCCCTGCATTGAAATATTGATGACACAATATTGTGCCATACAACCATATAGTATGTTGTAAACAAGTCATTAAATACACATATTCCTCAGATGCCTGCTGGACTTCCTGACATTGTTCAGCATCCTCACCTGCCAACACTTGCGTGTTCAGACCTGTCAGGGAACTTGACTGCCGATCAGTTATAACTTGCATTTTTTGTGATTATTTGGAAAATAATGTAGTCAGTATGACTTTAACTCTGTTACACAACAGGTGAAACATGTACGAATGTGTTTCAGAATTTTCTTCTTGGGGCAGCTAGGTGGCGCAGTAGATGGAGGACCGGCCTTGGAGTCAGGAGGACGTCAGTTCAAATCTAGCCTCAGACACATAACACTCACTAGCTGTGTGACTCTGGGCAAGTCACTTAACGCCAATTACCTCAGAAAAAAACAAAAATGAAAACAATGTACTTCTTTCTTTATGTTTCAACTGCCCCTTATTTTTATTCAGTGCCCCCCAATTGCACCCTAGGCTACTACCATCTGCCTGGATCGTTCCAGCGCCCCCAGAGGGCAGTATCACCCGCTTTGGGAGCTAGATCTATGATCTTATGCATGACCATGAACAAGCCCCTTCCCCTCCATAAGCCTCAATTTCCTCCCCTGTAAAAGGAGGAGGTTTTCCTAGATGACATTGTGAGGCCCCTTCCAGCCTAACTCCATGTTGCCCCTGCTGGGGCAGAGCAAAACGTCTGGGCCTCTCTGCTACCCCTCTGCTTCTCTCCCTCACTGTGGGTGCCTCTCTAGCCCTCCCCTCCCTGTCTCTGCACCTTCCCATGCCCTGTCCTGCATTCCTTTATCCCTAAGGGGCAGAGTAGCACCTCAGGCCCTCTCTTCTCCTCCCCCTCTGCTCCTCTCCCTCCCTGTAGATTCCCCTCTGGCCCTCCCCCCTTCTCTCTGAACTTTTCCGGGCCCTGTCCTGCATCCCTTTATCCCTAGGGGGAAGAGCAGCATCTCTGGCCCTCTCTGCTCCTCCCCCTGTGCTCCTCTCCCTCCCTGTGAGTCCCCTCTGGCCCTCCCCTCCCCCTCTCTCTACACTTTCCCATTCCCTGTCCTTCATCCAAGGTATCCCTAGGGGGCAGAGGAGCACCTCAGGACCTCTCTGCTCCTCCCCCTCTCCTCCTCTCCCTTCCTATGGGTGTCCCTATGGCCCTCCCCTTCCCCTCTCTCTGCACTTTTGCATTCCTTCTCCTGCATCTCCTAGGGGCAGAGCAGCACCTCTGGTCCTCTCTGCTCCTCCCCATCTGCTCCTCTCCCTCCCTGGGGGTGCCCCTCTGGCCCTTCCCTCCTCTTCTCTCTGCCCTTTCCTCTGCCTTCACCTGCATCCCTTTATCCCTAGGGTGCAGAGCAGGCTCCTTCCTTTCTGTCACTGGGGGACCTGGAGGCAGGGTGTCTCTGAGGGTCTCCTGAGAGAGATAGGCCTCATCTCTGATCCTTCTCCATCCTCTAGGTGAGAGGGTCAAGGGTCTGGGGTCTGGGGGGAGGGCCCCAGAAGGAGCTTCTGGAGGCACTGAAGCCACTATGGTTGTGTTTCATCAGGGGTCTGAGTGCGAGGTGCTGCCTTGGGCCTCTTAGACCTGCTGAGTCCTTTACTCCGTGGCCCTGTGGGCCTTTGTCCAATCAGAAATGGGGAAGGGTGGTTTCTGTAGGGTATTTGTGTTGATATGATATAATAACTAATATAATATTTGATGAGTAAATTTTGAGCTTAGCTGATTCATGGAGACTAAGTCAAGAAGTTATTAGTTAATGAAGAGCCTGGATTATCCCAGAGCTCACGAAGATAACAATTAAATAGGTCAAGTGGCAGGCCAGATGGTGACCTGGAGGACAGGTGGCTCTTCTTCATGACTCCCCCCAAAATGGCCACGCCACCAGGCCTCCCCCCCACCCAAGTATCCAGGAGAGGGCCCGTTCTTCTAGGCCAGGACTTGGCCATTTTAAAAAAAATGTAAACACTCCCTGGCAGAGATTTCTCCTCTTCCTTGCCTCTGCTGCCTCCCTCAGTCACTGCCCACATGGCATCTTGTTTAGGAAGCAGGGGATGTGCGGGCAAAGACTTGCGTCCCTGAAGGAGGGCCATCGCTTGGGTACAAGTGAGTGGGGGAGATGCCTGTGCCTACAAACAGGGGGTTTCATGGACATAGAAAGGAAAGCTGCACTGACTTGCAGGAAACGTCACCCTAACAATCAAGTCTGCTTACTTGCTCCCAGTTTTTCCCTCCTGTATTTGTATTTCTGAGTCAAAATTCTGTTTCGTACCTAGGCTCTAGTGAAAACCCATTCCTCTTCCCATCCAAAGAGGCCTCTTTCTGGATCATCGCCCACACGTCAAGTGGCTGCCCCTTCTGTGAGCCTAACAGTGCAGAACCAGCACCACAGGGACTCTTGACTGCCCTTTGTAAATTGGGGATGAGACACCACCCTTCCCGGTCCTTGACCCCTAACTTCTCATTATGAAAACCCCAATGATTTCTTAGTGGAAAAGGAAGCAGTTGGCTCAGGGCAATGCTCTCCTCTCATATTCTGCCCATGTTTATAGAGATGGGTTTGCATGCACATATATGTACACAGTCTTCTTTCTGGCTCTATCCCTTCTGCTAGCAAAAAAAAAATTCAGAGTCTGCTTTTGGCTACATGCAGGCTGTCCCAAAGGTCTTAGTGCAGATTTAAGCTCCAATTACATCAGATGCATAAATGTTACAAACTTTAAAAAAATAATTTGATATTTTAAAGTTTCTTTTACACTCATTTTGTTTTGTGAATTTTGAATAACAAAGTTTTCATTTAAATTTTGACGTGATGAGGGAATCCTGTAACCTCGAATTGCATTTAACATATTATGGATGCTACTTTCTCAGAGCTGTGGATAGTAAAGGCTATTCTCTTCCTTTGCCACCTTGATTACCTGATCTCTCTCTGCTAGTTTTTTTTTTTTCTGGGGCCATGTGAAAGCTGTCCTGTATGCATCAAAACTTTGCTCTTTGCATTATCTTCAGGCCAGGATTGCACGTGGAGTCTTTTCAATCATTGATCATCAGCTGATGAGAGTTTTTAGAAAGTTTGAAAATCAACCAATGTCCAGCTCATGATGATGGTTATGTTGAATTTTCACAGGAGACATAGCAATGTTTTAAAAATGAAAATAATCTTTCAAATGTTGTTTTTCATGAGTTTGTGGCATTACCAGCCTCTTAATCAGCTTTGTCGTCACACTCGTGTGCTTTTAGTCATGACGTGTTTTGCACTATCATTCCTAAGATTCAGGAGCTCACCCCAAAGCAGAGAGGAGAAGGATCCTGCAACCAATTATCGAAAATGAGTGCAGATGTTGAAATGCGCAGTGAAGAGTTCGATACCAATCAAGAGGAAGTTGATGAGAGGGCAGAGAAGCAAGCAGCAGGTGTGTTCTCCAAGGGGAGAAATGCAGTAGCCCAGGCAGCAGTTGCCGATTCTGAAATCCAGCAGGAAGAGGAGCCCCAGGGAGCTCAGCACCTAGCAGGGCCAGATGTGTATCCTTACCACCCCAAAATATTCATGGGGCTCAAGAAAAACAGGAGAAAGTATGACCGGAAAGGCAGGCTGATCTGTAATGGTATCGAACTGTGTGACTGCCTGCAGGTTGATTGTGCCGGCTGTTTCCACCCATGCCCCAGGTGCAACTCCAGGAAATGTGGAGTCAAGTGCCACCAGAATCTCAAGTGGGTTTATAACAAGGTGGAGGATGAATCTGGCAAGCTGGTCAATGCATTTCCCTTTGCATTTCCTGAATAAGGTCCTGGCGACACTGAGCTCCCCTTTCTGTCGAGGGTTGAGCTGGCTTTTTTTACAAATGAGTTTTAGGCCTTGGGCAAAGAGTTGGAATGGACCTAGTGTCAATTGATCATTCCAGCTTTGGGAACCAAAGCCATCCTCCCCAAAGAATTCCATTATTTTAGGATTTTTTTTTTTGGTGTGGAAAAGAGGGTAAGTCTTTCTTGCCCTACCATCTTTCCACCTTCAGCCACTTCAGATATGTCTTTAAAGTTTGAAAAAAAGAAAGGAGCCTCAATTTCGAAAGCCAGGAGTTTACTGTTCTTCATGTTGTCATTAGTGCTTGATGGTAAAAAACAAACAAACAAACAGAAAACAACTTCAGTGTTAACTGCTACTGAATGTGATAATAAGATCATATCCACCATATGGTGGCAAATATTTGCTTGTAACAGTTTTATTTGTTGTTATGTTGTTGTATTTTGGATTCTTTCTGACTTCTCCAATTTAATCTTTCATGTTGAGTGATAGTAGATAAATTGTTAAGCTCTTCAGATGTTTTCATAGAGAAAATGGATAAGCATTGTTGAAGTAATCGCATTTAAAGACAAAAAAAATTAAAAAAAACCATTTACAAATTCAAAGCTGGTTTTTAATGTCAAAGAATTCCCTTCAATTCGGAATCCAAGCACAGCTCTTTGCAACCATGTTCAATGGAGTACACCTGGGGAGGTAGGGACTCCCCACCATCAGGGTGAAGGGAAGAAAGATACCCCAAAAAGGTCACAATGAGTCAGATGTGACTGAACACGTGTGAACCAAACCATAGAAGCAGTCACGTGGTGCAGGGAATACAGTGGTGGGCCTGGAATCAGGAAGGCTCATCTTCCTGAGTTCAAATCCGGCCTCAGACACTAGCTGTGTGCCCTGGGCAAGTCACTCCACCCTGTTTGCCTCAGTTTCCTCATCTATACAATGAGCTGGAGAAGGAAATGGCAAACCACTCCAGTATCTTTGCTAAGAAAACCTTAAATGGGGTTACAAGGAGGCAGAGGTGACTGAAAACAAGTGAACAAAATGAAAAACAAAAACAGGAAAGATCACATCTGGAGGGCAGGCAGGCCTGCCTCACCTAGAGGACAGCGTGAAACTTGGTCATCCAGCCAGAACAAGGGGACTTACCACCACCAGGTGCACTCTTCCAATTCAAGCTTTGCCTCTCAGGGAGAGCCCCCAAAGCTACATACATTTTCCCTTAAAACTTGCTTGCAGAGGCCCAGGAGAGGGATGGAAATTGAATTTTTAATGGTTAACAAGTTCAGCTGCCTTCAGGCACACTGGTTGGTTTGTTTTTTATTATTATTGTGTATTTTTTAGGCAATTGGGGTTAAGTGGCTTGCCCAGGGTCACAGAGCTAGTAAGTGTTGAGTGTTTGGTCTCAGGCCAGATTTGAACTCAGGTCCTCCTGACTTCAGGGTAGGTGCTGTATCCACTGAGCCACCTAGCTGCCCCTAGACTGTCTGTTTGGTAGCCCTCCTATCTTTCCTCCCATGCCTGCCAGCATCATTGGAAATGGGACCACGATGGGGGTCTCTGATGCATTCCTACAAACAGCCTCCTGGAGGACAGCCTTGGGCAGACACATCCTTGGCCACTACTATTATTGTTTTGTTGTTGTCTCTAATTTTGGCTTTTATCTCCAAGTTTCAGCTGCTTTCAAGGCAGCCAGGTTAGTTCACATCCATTTCTTCCTCCAGTGACCTGGGTAGTCAGGCTCCTTAACCCCCAATGCTATCCCAACTTTGGGTGATAAAACTGTGTGTTGGGAAAGGCCTCGTGGACTCAGAATGGTGCCTGTGGCCTAGTTCCCTAGGCACATACTATCACCTTTTTCTAGCCTTCTAAGGCTTCATCATAAGAAGGAATATGTAAAATTTACCAAATTAGTATTTACTGAGGAGCCCTGTTCAGATGGACCGGCTCAGCGTGGACACATTTCCTTATGTATAGCAAGTTATAACATTATGGGGTAACCTGTAAGTGCTGGAGAACATGTCTGGGTAGCTAGAGAACCAGAGAACGTAAAAATGGGTGGAATCTTAGAGACTACAGTTGAACAAAGAACATAGAATGTCAGAGTTGGAAAGGACCTTGGAATAGTAACAGCTGTTAAGGATTTTAGAACAGAGGATGTTAGAGCTGGGAAGGACCTTAAAACAAACCATGTCAGAACTGGAAAGGAATTTAGAACAGACCATTAGTTTCAAACACAGAATGTTAGAAATGAAAGGGACTCTAGAATGTAGGAAGTTAAAACTGGAATGGATCCCAGAACACAGAATGTCAAATATGGGGAAGACCTTAAAAGAAAAAGGGGTTAGAATTAGTGGCGGAACTTTAGAACAGAGCATATTAGAACTAGATCTTAGAACACAGAACATTTGAGATCGAGTCCAAGCCTCTCATTTCCCAGCCAAACAAGCTTAATTCCTGCCAGATGCCAATTCTTTTGATGGCATTGTCCCGTTTGGGTGGATTGAAGGACACAGCTATTTGGATCTCTTGTTGCTCGTTCTCCCAATTCTGGGTGAGTGCTGTCATTTTAGGACTGTGATCGGGGTCTTGCCAGAAAAGCAGTGGCAGGAGGACTTTTCTACAAGAAAGCGGAAATGCTGGTGACAGCTTGGGAATTTCACTGCATTTTCTTACTTCTAAGAGGTATATTTGAAAGTTTTTAGGCACTCAGTTTTTAGAGGCCCCTTATGGCCATGGAAAGTTCTTATAGATAACCCAAGTTCTTCTTGCAGATAAGACAGGAGGAACAGCTCATCATTGCCACATATATGCATTTCCACATTCAAATAATGAGGTTCCAGGCAAAGCTGCAAAATTCTCACTCTTGTTCCCCAAATCCACTTCTCTCCGACACATTTTGTCATCGTGCTAGGGTCTTCTCTGGAAAGGGCACAGGAGCAGAATTTTGGAGAACTTGATTCTGCCGATTGGGCCATTAACTCCCTGGCTGAGCTGGGGCTTTGCAAGGGATCATGGGATGTAGAGATATCACCTAGTTCCACACCTTCATTTACAGACGAAGAAAATGTGTCACAGGGAGGTGAAGGGACTTGGCCAATGTCCACAGGCAGGAGACGTGGATGGTTCAATTCCCTGTGCCAGGGAGAGAGATGGAAACCATGGAATCAGGATCCATCCCAAGGGAGGGGGCCACCCAAGCAGATGCACGGGCAAATCCACTGGGCGCACAAAGCCCTGTCTGGCCAGAGATGCTGCCCTCATGTCATTGCTTGGAGAATTTGGGGGGCTGGTCCTCAAGGCCCATCTCTGGTGTCCAGGAAGCCTTCTCTGAGCCACTGCTTCAGCCTGAAGCCAGTCATGCCCACCATCCCCCGTACTTTAGACTTCTTTCATGCACACCACGGATGGGATAAAGAGCGGGAGAGTGGAACAGTTGCTCACTTATCTAGGGGTCCCAGAAGGGTGTTCTTCTTGAATATGGGTGGAGCAGACCTGAAAGATACATGTGTAAGTATCTGCTTGTCCAAAAACAATTTAGTAGCTGACAAGATGCTCAGTGCCCCTAGAGGCATACGATTCTGGGCAGGGAAACACCACCTGCTTCCTTCCTGGGTTGGAGAGGCTGGCTCTAACCTGAATTCCATTTTTTCCACATGTTTCGGAGTCCTCCACCAGTCGCTGTTCCTAAGAATCAGCACAAACATGCCTCAGTTTCCCCATGTTGGTCAGCAAAAACCCAACCCACTCCTGTTTCTTTCCTGTAACCTCTACAGGGCGGCTGAGGCCGTCCAATAAGTATGGATGACAGTCACCTAGCCACAATACCAAATCTTTCCTCTCGAATCAAGGAGGCCCTCAAAGTAAACACTAGGCCAGGAAGGAACCTGAAGAGAGCGTCCACTAGAGTACCCCACAGCCCCAGGCAGCACAAAAGGAAGAGATGTCCATCTTATAAGAGCCTTTCAATTCTTGTTCTTACCTCCAGGCTCCTCTCTCCAGATCCTATTATTCCCCTGCTCAAAGACCTTCAGTGGCTCCCTGTTGCCTACATGATTAAGTACAATCTGCTGATCCTAGTATTCAACACCCTTGACAATGAGACTCCAGACAATTCCCCTTCATGTCTACTATGCTCCAGCCAAAGAAGACTGGCTTCTGATTCTTGACCTTGTTTTGCCCTCTCCCCCTTCTGTGCCTTTGCTCATGGCATCTTCCATCTTGGGATAGAGCCCCCCACTGAAGTCTTTCCCTTCCTTTGAGAATTCACTCAGACGCTATCCTCCCTCTACAAGGCCTTCTCTGATGGCCTACATGAATGCCTTCCTCCTCAGGTTTCTTGAAGCACTTTACCTGACTCTCATTTGCATGATGGTAACTTCTGTGCTTGGCCCTTCCCAGTGGAGTGTTGGATTTTAGAAAAGAGCCTAAGTGGTGTCTAGCATTGTGTGTCTGGCACCCAGCATAAGTACAGGGTTTGCTTCATTGAACCCAACCAGATTGATAAGTCTCTTCCCTATTCCTGTCCACCAGTGGTGCCACCATCTTCCCACTAACTCAGGCTCATGGCGCAAGTGTCACACTTGCTGCCTCTCTCTCTCTGTTTTTGCTTTTCTTGGGGGGAGGCAATCAGGGTTAAGTGACTTGCCCAGGGTCACACAGCTAGTAAGTGCCAAGTCTCTGAGGCCAGATTTGAACTCAGGTCCTCCTGACTCCAAGGCTCTGCCTCCCTCTCTCTTGTCACCCTCATATCCTTAGATCCAAGCTGTTGCCAAGGTGTGTTGAGTCTATCTTCTCACCATCTCTCCTATCCACTCCCCTTCTCTTCTGTGACACTGCTACCACCCTAGCTCCGGCCCTCCTCACCTGGACTATCAAAATAAACTGCTGATTGGTCTCCCTGCCTCAGCTCTTC